CTCACTCTCTCACTCACTTACTCACTCACTCACTCACTCACTCACTCACTCACTCTCTCACTCACTCACTGTCTCACTCTCTCACTCTCTCACTCTCTCACTCTCTCACTCACTCACTCTCTCACTCTCTCACTCTCTCACTCTCTCACTCTCTCACTCTCTCACCCCCCAGTCGTGACCCTATATGCCACCCTGGGCAATGACGCCATCGCTCACGGCATCCAGGAGACGGGCGCATCACACGTCATCACTAGCCTGGATCTGCTGCCCAAGTTTGAGGTATGTGAGTGGTTGGAGGGTGCTCTGCTGCCCAAGTTTGAGGTATATGGGTGGTTGGAGGTATGTTCTATACTAAAAAAGTTCCTGGTATGTTCTATACTGACAAAGTTCCAGGTATGTTGAATAATAAAAAAGTTTGATGTCTGTTAAAAACTGCCAAAGTACGCATTAATCAATAGGACAGCCAACATGTTATTTCCTGTAGTGTGTAGTGTGTCAATCCTGTTGTGTGTAGTGTGTCAATCCCGTAGTGTGTAGTGTGTCAGTCCTGTGGTGTGTAGTGTGTCAGTCCCATGGTGTGTAGTGTGTAGTGTGTTTGTCCCGTGGTGTGTAGTGTGTCAGTCCCATGGTGTGTAGTGTGTAGTGTGTCTATCCCGTGGTGTGTAGTGTGTCTGTTCCGTGGTGTGTTGTGTGTCAGTCCCATGGTGTGTCATTCCTGTGGTGTGTAGTGTGTCAGTCCTGTAGTGTGTAGTGTTTCAGTCGCGTGGTCTGTAGTGTGTCAGTCCAGTGGTGTGTAGTGTGTCAGTCCCGTGGTGTGTAGTCTGTCAGTCCCATGGTGTGTAGTTTGTCAGTCCCGTGGTGTGTAGTGTGTCGGTCCCGTGGTGTGTAGTCTATCAGTCCCGTGGTGTGTAGTGTGTCAGTCGTGTGGTGTGTCAGTCGTGTGGTGTGTCAGTCCCTTGGTGTGTAGTGTGTAAGTTGCGTGGTGTGTGGTGTGTCAGTCTCGTGGTGTGTAGTGTGTCAGTAGGTACCACAAACCCAAATTTCAAAGTGCTTTGATCAAACTTATGTTTGTTGCATCATAAAGAACTATGCAAACCATGAACTTTGGTGTTTGAATTATAGAAATCGGACAATAAATAAAAAAATGACAGCCGTTTGAAATTTGTGGACGTCGTAAATTTTTGGCAACTTTAAAATCACGTTAAAAAGTGCGATTTTGTGAGTTCACAGAAAATAT